CGGTCATTTTTTTTGTCCATATAGTGTAGGTTCTCGATCGAAACACAGCCTGTCTCACGGTGTAATTCATTCCTCAGTTGACCTTCATTCAGAAAGATATGTCCGTGTACATAGATACGATATTGGGTGCCCGAAATATTTACAACAGTGTGTCATTGTCCATTAGTTTTTATTTGCCATTCACGTGGCTTCTGGCGCGACCTTCATGAAGGTCCCAGCAATTGGATTCCCGAGGTCCACCACACTAGCGAACGTGCTAATGTTGAAATTAGAAATGGATGTCGTCGTGTTGACGAGTGTCTGTGTTGCAAACTGCGGGGATTGCTTGAAAAGCAGGAAGATGTAACTGGGGAAACCGTGTGAGCCAGTGTGAAGTTCGAGAGAGATAGCACTTACCGGTGGGCGTCAGACCCCGCGGGTGGAGTCGGCTGCAGGAACTCCGATAACGCCGGCGTGGAATTGACAAGGTGGCCTCCCTTGTTGAAGAAATTGCCGCCGAGGAAGTGCCGGATTTGAGCTTCTGTGGGATCCTGAGGGGTGGGTGCGTCTGGGTCCACTGTAGCTACTACGAATGGCCCGCGGCCGACGTTTCCCACAACGTTAAAGGATGGAGGGCCGGCAGTATCTACATATCATCGTTGTTTTTAGTTTGAGCGGCCGCGGCCGATGGTTGGCGAAGCTCACCATTTCGGGGGACATTGACTCCCGCGTGCAGTGTGATTGGCGCTCCGGTCGCTTGGGGAAGGGACACCTCGAACAAGGCAGTAGGGTTGAAGACGATGCCCAAGTCAGTTGGGATCTAGGAGGAAGGTGGTCAACGACGGAGCAATCTGTTGAAAACGACACACAAACATCTGCGGCGGTGAATGCTTTTTTTACGGTCTGGATGGAGGTGTCTTGGCCAACTGCGACCAGGGCCAGTGTCAGGAGGGATGCAAGGCACGAAAAGTACATATTTGGGATATCGAGAACATCGACTGAAACAGGGTTGCTTTTATACGACGCCGACTCTATGGGAAAGTGACGGAATAGGTCTGCTGCGGACTCTGTGAAAGCTTCGACGTAAAATCGGTCGGCCAATACTTGCCAAGGTCGTCGCGAGTCGTGAGAGCAGAACACCCTTGGTGAGAGCGACTGCCCCAATGCGAGACTGGGACATGCATCAAGTCCTTGACGTCATGGTCAAGGCACTGAAAGGGTGAGATTCGGCGGCAAAATTTATCTGCGTCCATTACATCACATCGCTACGCGATCTAGTTTGCCATACCGGTAGGATCAGCAAACTCAAAGGACTTGCTCTACCAGTCTACCGGCACTCAGTAGCCCTGGTAGCCTGGTAGGAACTTATCTGCCAGAGCTACTGAGTGATCAGTAGACCGGTAGCGATTTGAGTAGGGCTTCTAGTTAAAGATTTTCAAAGAGCCGTCTTGAGTGCGACCGCGATTACAGTGGTCGGGACTCCGCATGTATGAATAGTAGTTGTGAGCTCGGCACCTTCAGGCTTCCAGCAGCACTTTCCCTTTTCGCACACCCGTGCGGAATGGTCCCTCAACTGGGTACCATCATGACATCTCAGTGAATGCGGCCGGCGGAAGCAAACCCTGGGAAAGCCAATCACAATATGGCTATAAGTGCTCCGATGTGGGAAGTTGCTCTTCCGGAGAGCACCGAATTCATCGCTAAACTCATCCTTCTTCTTAGCTTGTTCACCGAGTCCAACCATTCTCTGAGGGCAAAGTGGCGCGAACCGAGGAAAATCAACCGCATCACCAAAAGGTGGGAAATTTGGTATGCCCTTGCGAGGTTCGGCATGCCGGGTGCGGTCGGCAAAGCTATGCAAAGGCGTTGCCGGCTTGTTATTCCCTTGCAAGGCGCTTACCAAATTGTTATTCCCTTGTACAGCGTTGCCAGCTTGTTATTCCCTTGCAAGGCACTCACCAAGTTGTCAGTGCCCTTGCAAGGTGTTGCCAGGCCACTCCGGGCTCCATGCTCAAGAAGCTGCACTCGTAAAGGCCTTAACCAGGGTATCAATCCTGGCAGCCCCGTATCACTACACATAACCAAGTTGACCAACCGAAATACTTTTCCCGCAATCTTACACATCGAGGCAACATCGATGGAGTGCGACTGAGTGAAGCGGCAAGGCAACATGTGAAAGTGATTGCATAGGCAAATTGGATGCGAAAGCCGGCATTTATGACGGCGTTGTCGGGGTCGATGTTGAGTGCCACTACTGCCAGTGGTCCGAGACTCCGAGTTGGGCGTCGGTAACGGGTCCGCGGCGATCAATCAGGGTCCGTGCACGAATCACGGGGCCCCAACAAACATGTCACAACGTTCGTTTTGCGATCAATCATCACGACACTCTCTTTGCTCCCCCCCACCACTCTCTCCCCACCACCTCGTCGCCTCAGCCTGCGACCGACGTTCCCATCGGCGTCCCCAGCCTCTCTTTCCTCGCCCGAGGGCCTTCCCGTCCCCTATACCCTCCCGCACCATCCGTTCGTCTTGTACGCCAGGCTGGTGTCCCTGTCTTCAACGCGTGCATCCTGCTGTGTCCCTGCATTCTCAGGCAACTTCTGCTCTACGCAAACGGGCGCCCACCGCCAGTCAAATCAGTCAAAGCCAGATCTTCCTCGTCGCGACTCGCAAGCAGCCTGTCCGTGATCCGCAACTTCTCTCAAGTCCGTCCAATACATGGCTTAGCCTCAAGCCCGCTCAAGTCTGTTGGGTCCCTCAAATGCATGCTCCCTCACTCAAGTCCACTGCTCAAATCAAGATGTGCTCTTTTCTCAAATCTGGAGTCCCTCGTTTGGACACAGCGTCGCTGGCGCGTCGAGCGGGCGACAGAATTGAGATTGGGTGGGAGCGGTGGCAGCCAATACGCGTGCGCGGATGCAGCCCTCATCGATCTCGATCTCGTTAGCTTCGGGCGCTCTGTGAGCGTGCTGTGCAGTCGTCGGCGGATCTGCGCGAGAACCCCACGCTCCGTGTCCGCGATTTGTCTCTGTTCCTCGTCTTGTCGTTCGTTCATACATTTCTGTGGTTTCCATTGAATACAATTTTTTTTGCTGCATTTTGTATCGGGCGATTTTAGTGATTCCAAACAATTGTGTCGAGATGCATAGCCTGATGCCTTGGTGAATCCATAGCAGCCTCATCTAGGTTCGCCAGCCTTTCAAGCTTTTTATGCCCCTTGCAAACATCATAGATCTCTTGCATACCTGTTTGTGTTCTTCACCAAGCTATCAAGCTTTTTATGCTTTTCACCCCTTGCACAGCCTTATATGGCTTTCCATGTTTCGCCAGGTTTTGGTGATGCGTGGGAAGCGCGCTGATGGATTGATCGTGCTTCAACGAATCTCAACTGAGCTTACGCGTATCCCTTGCAAACGTTTCCGGAACAGCGGGTAATACAGGAGAGGCCTACAGAGGGGATAAAGGCATGGTGTCCAGTTGAAATAACCTTCCACTTGTCGACCAACAAGATTGGTCAGATTGCCCCGTTCGATTCGGAGCCACGCCATAGTAGCAGCTGTATCTTCCTTTTTTGATGTATGCCAGGTGGGATAGTATGGCACGCACTAATACCAAACGCTCAGAAGAAATCGAGGTGCAAAGTGAGCTCGATGTGTTCGTTTTTAGATTGATTTTGCAACGCGAGAGTAAGTAGACCTGAAGCCTGAAGGCGAGCCGACTGGACAGGGACAACGGAAGCAGCGGGGATATGAAGCATCGAGATAGTGGGAGGAAGGCTCTGTAGCTCTTGGAGCGCATCTTTATGAAACAAAACAAGCAGAGCCACCCGTTCGATTCGGGGCTGAGCTGTAAAGTCAACCCAGACACATCTTTTTAGTCACCGTGAAAGCGAGAACGAGGAGTTCATCTTAAACTGTTCTCGAGTTCATTTTCGAGGGAGGCCCAGCGAGTGAAAATAGTAGAGTTGAAGCCTGAAGACGATCTTAGCAAGAGCCGACTGAGGAGTGAGAAAGCACCGGTGGAAGGAGTGGGGAAATGAAGCGTCAAAATGAAGGGAAAAAGACTCGGTAGCGCTCGGAGCGCATCTGCATGATATGAGCATCCAAACCCGTAGTTGAGCAGAGTCACCCGTTCGATTCGGGCCGAGCCATGAATCGTCGCAGTCTCTTTTTCACCGTGTTGGGGTACGGACGTGGGTTATTTGGGTTGGGTTTATTTTGCGAGGGAGAGTCATTGCCTTGAATGGTAGACAGAGCTGAAGTGATCTTGAGAGTCGACAGAGGAGTGATAAAGCCCTGCGAAATATTGGAAGTAAGAACGAGGTGGTTCGTTCATTGTTGGCTTCATTTTACGAGAGACAAAGAGTAAGTGTCGTGGCTTAAAAAATCTTTGATAAGAGTTGGGAGTGAGAAAGCGCTGACGGAAGGAGCGGCGATAGGGAGCGATGAAATGGAGAGTGGAAGGCTCGGTAGCGCTAGGAGCGCATCTGCGTACTATGACCCCTCAACTTCCGCTGTAAGCAGAGTCACCCGTTCGATTCGGGGCCGAGCCATATCGGCGAGCAATTTGTTTTTGTGGGTGTTATCTTGGTTCTCGATAGTGGATTGAACGCACCGAATACTAGGCGTTGTGAGAGAGTCAGACACGCCAGCGAGTTGATCGCAACGGTTTTAACAGAGGCTGGCTGAAGTTCAGAACGACAGAATACGAGGTGTCACTTGGAGAAGATCTGCTGTAGGAGGAAGGTCCGGTAGCGCTTGGAGCGCCTCTGCGTATGATGGGTTTCGAAGTACGGTCACCCGCAGAGTCACCCGTTCGATTCGGGGCTGAGCCATGTCGTGTTGATGCCAATTTTTTGTTGTGGCTGAGCAGCAAGAGCTGGAATCGTACATTTATTGGGGGAAGGGCAGGAAGATAAGGAAGAGGCTGGGGCCAAGGAGACAAATTGCCGCAATGGATTTCAGGAATTATGGGGTGTGACAAGAGGGAGTATAGGGCTGGGTACTAACCACTGCTTTCAAGGCTCGGTTGCGCGTGGTGCGCATCTGCCAGCGACATGTTCATGAAGCGCACCGCTACATAGCAGAGTCCCCGGTTCGATTCCGGGCTGAGTGATAATAGGCCGCCATACCGAACTTGAAGGTTCTTTTTCTCCCTTCAAGTTCTTGGTTCGAAATCAAACGGCTGGCACAGTCACTAGTGGGAGTTGTGGAGTTGTATTTAGGCTGCCAGTATTGAACCGGATCGTTGGTGGCATCGGCCAGCCGCGCACCCAGCATGCTTGGTTTTTGGTGGCCAGATAGTCTGGATTTAGATGTGCAGTTTGGGGAGCGCCGGGCGGGACCGAGAAGCCGTAGACAAAGCAAGCGCGTTCGCAGCAGTCCCGTTTTTTGCCGGCAGGATATCGGTGACAATCGCTCCATTCGTCAGCGAAAAAAACGCGTCTGACCAAAGTCCAACGCAGACTGGTCGCAATCGGTCAATTAGCAGGAGAAAAGTAGACTGTAACTTGACGATCCCGCCGCCGTTGTCGTGGATGTCGTCGAGAGTCATTTGCCATGAGGAGGTTGGGGACAAGGTTGGCCGGCCCGAGTGTTCCGATGACAAGTGTATGCATGTGTTAGGATCTGAAGAGAATGGCATCTTTCCTCCTCCCCCGCAACTTGTTCAAGTTGTTTCTCCAGCTTCTCTATCCGCTGTTTTCACCTCGCAAACTAGTTTTCAGACGCATGTCCCCAAGTACCTATGCCCAGGCCTCACGGCCAGCTGTGGCTCTTGAGCCGTGACCACGACGGCAACAATCAAAAGATCCATCTTGCCCGTTTGTTGCCCGTCACAAATTCCCTGTTCTTGAGCTTCACCTTAGGCTTGAGCCATTCCGTTCGTTTCTCCTGTGCTTTCCGCCAGCATGGTGTTCTGGAACACCCTTTTGGTTCTTTCCGCTGCTCTTTTGGTCGCGTCCCAGTCGTCCACAAGCGCGACTCCCACCGAATCGGGCGTTGTTCTTCCTAGCAGCACTGCAGGACTGGATCCATGCATGGAAACTTGCTTTGAAGAGGCAGCGTCTGCCAACGGCTGCGCAATGTACGCTCATGTCTCACGTCTTTCCGGTATCGGCTTAACGAATCTTTCCATGCAGTGACGACGTGAACTGTGCTTGCGCGTCCGCGCAGCTTCAAGCGGACCTTACGCAGTGCCTAGACGCGGAATGCAGTGCTTTTGCGTCGCCGCAGGCTCAAGGACTGCTCATTCAGCTCTGCAACAAAGGTTCGCCTTATGACTCTCGCGCTCCAAGAAGCCTCTAACAGTGTTCTCTACCAGTCCGAGTCGTCGCTACAGGTTCTGCTATCCCCAATCACTTGTCGCTCTCCTCCGCATCCCCGGCGTCGACCGGGCTCCCCCAGGTTCCCGTTCAGAACAAGGAGAACAGCGCCCCTGCGCGCATGGTCGTCCATGCTTACATGGCCAGCGTCGCGCTTGCTGCTACTGTTGTAGGGCCTATCGTATGGGGTTGGGTCTAATAGATGAGGCGCCTTACGTCGACCTTCAATATGCACCAGGGCTATGTCCTTATCGACGCTCGTGGGCTCTTTGACCCGGGATTGTATGAGGCCTGAGCTAACACCCCAAAAATTGCCTTTTTAGGCCGACGCGTTCTTTGATGATCAGCGCGTGGTGGACGATCTCGCCAATCGTCGCCTGGGCAGCGTCGACCAAGATCTAGCACATCAGTCCGAGTATCTCGTAAGTATTCCATCTCTTTTCCCTTCGTTTTCCCGCCCAGTGGGCTCTGTCTGAATGTCGCGTCGCGCCAGACTTGCTTTCGTTTTTTACTTCTTCGCCGCTGGTCGCGCTGCAAACGACTGGTCCGTCTTCGCACAACTACCTCCATCTTCCATGTTGGTCTCTGACGCGCCTTTTCCTTTCCGGTCAGGTCGACCCCCTGCTTCGACGGGCACTGCTCCTACGACATCCCCACCTCTTCCTCGGTCTCCGGAACCCTCCGCGTAGTGCGTTAACACTCCTTCTTTCCCTCCGCGGACGCATTCTCATTCTCATGCTGATCTCCTTGAACAAATGAAGTGGGGCGCCGCGGACGCAATCTCGGACATCACCCCCGCCGCGGGCTGGACGATCCTCGACTGCGCCAAGGGGCCCCTGGCGCAGGACGTGCGCCTCGTGTGCCACGACCCCGCGGGGTGCCCGCACCTCGCGCTGAATAACGGGAGTGTGGGCAAGCTCGTGCGTCTCCCTGAAAGCGTGCGTCCGTCTATATACCAAATAAAGGATGAGTATAAGTGCCGCTGTGCTGACGGCTGGGAACAGTGCGGGCAAAGCGCGTTTGCGCGGGTGACGAAGGATTGGGTGCACGCGAACCAGACGCTCTCCGCCGACCTCGCGAACCAGCTCCGTCGCCGGGATGGGGTGCTCCCGCCCGTCAGGGGCCTCAGCATCGACGCGGATTTTAATTCCGTGGATGCCTCGCAGTGCGTGCACTTTCAACGCCCGTATATTTACATCCACTTACAAGTTACGAATCGTGCGTGCGTAGGGCGGGACCTGTAAACTTCGCGATCCACGGGCTGACCGCGTCTGTGCCGGAGACGCCTGCGCCCCAGCGCCGCAGCCGCTTCGCGGCCGCCCCCGCCGCGCGCACGGTGACAGACCGCTCCGTCATTTCTGTCCTACAGCAGGCGTTCCAAGGTGCAGAGCCTCTCATTTCGTCCTGACCCCATTCTAACTTATGCTCGCCCACCGAATAGAATTCAATTCCTTCAATCAGGTGCGGGCTTCTCCAGTCGCTCGGGGAACGCAGATACTTACATACGGCGGGACAGAGCACGATGCAGCCGCTGCAAGAGGTCAACTTCAAAAAGACCTTCCCCCTCCTCGACGAGAAGATATCGTGCCCCGCGGTGGGGAAGATCCCCGCCTTCGAGGCGTCGGTCACCGGCTCGGTCGATGCGTGTATCGTGGCGAATGTAACGCTCGCCGTGACCGCCATTGGGACCTTGGTGGGTTACCTCTCCCTCGTTATAGCCGACCACGTCGCTCACGAGTTGTCGCGTTAGATGCCCGCAAATCTGACGAAATTCGGGATCGTAGTGGGGATGGACGCGGATTTGGAGGGGACGATGACGCTCAAAGGCTCCGCTGCGGTATGTTACGTGCGATATTGAAGCTCACCCGCTCACCGCCGCGGTGCAGGCTACCCTAGACTCCGGAAAAGTAGACCTCTTCACACTCGGTATTCCTGGTGAATCTCCCCATATCTTCCGCGCAGCACCCCATATTAACATCCCCGCCAAGGGCTGGATTTCCCCGGGTCCGCCTCGTTCCCCCGTACGAATGGACATCCGGCTGACCGTTCGCAGAATCCTGACCATCGGCCCGTCATTCAAAGTCCAAGGGGAAGTAAGCGGGAACGTGGACATCGACCTGGACCTGACCGTCGACTTGTCCTACTGCATCAGCGGCGCGAAACTATTCTACCCACCCTCCGCGTACAACACCAATAGCGGCAAGTTCACGCCCAACAATAGTCGTACGTTTCTCCTTCCCCACACGCACACCCATAGCTAGCTCACCCTCATCCATCATCCAGCACTGAATTTCTCGGTCACTCCCGCAGTCGCCTCCAACTCCGCAATCACAGCACACATCATCCCCTCGCTCGACTTTGGCGTGACCGCAATCGGCGGCCTCGCCACCGCCACGCTCTTCGTCGAATTCGACACGAGCTCCACGATCACGACGGCCCTCGACGCGTCCGGCTCCGTCAGCGGTAACGCGTCGAACTCGGGTGTCGCCGTCACGAGCAAGAGCTCCTCGGGGCTCGACGGGTGTGTCGATATCGGCGCGGGTTTGTCTATCAATGCTGGCGCGACCTTGGATGCTCAGGCTGGCGACCTGTTCCCGGCTCTGCAGGCTAACCCGAACGTGAGCAAGGTGTACGTGTAAGGGTTTATGAATACTGACTTACTCCCGCTGCAGGTGAACCTCTTCACGAAAAACTTCGACTTCTTCAAGGTAGATATCTGCCTTCCAACTCGTCCCCTACTAAATCGCTCACCCACCTCCGTCCAGAAATGCTTCGGGTCCCAAGCATCCAATTCCACAGGCAGCAAGCGCGAGCTCCAAGCCATGTCCCTATCCGACTCCGAGCCCAGCGTCGAGCTGTTCCGCCCTCGGCGGCAAAATGTGGCAAAGCGGGCGTCGGTACTATCGTGTACTACATCGGGGTCGAATGCCATCTCGAAGGTCGTATCGGTGGCGGACGCGGTGATCTCTAGCGCGAGGTACGCAGCTAGGAATCTCGGCTATGCTCTTGGATTTGACGATAATTTTCGTGTAGCATCAAGCTGAAGGATTGAAGGATTGACTAGGATTGACGAGCGTCGTCGTTGTCGTTCACAGGCTTCGCGTGTATGTATTGCTATTGTATTGAATTCAAGTTGTGTACCCTGTATAGACTCAGGATGAGATGGATATGGGTGTCATCCTCCTCGTCCTCTTAGGACTGCGAGCAATTAAAAGAAGAGTCATGGATGCTGGTATAATTAGAATAATCCTAGAAGCTATACAGAAAGACACAGTGTATGTAGAGATTGAAGATGAGAAGCAGAAGCAGCTAACGTATGAAATCCGGTTCGTCTATAAATATTGGCTCGACCTCAGTCCATTGCTGGTTGCCACCCTCCCGCCAGATTCGCTCGCGCTCCGCCCAATACTCCATCGCGCCATCATCCAATCGCGACGGCGTCCACACGCGCTCTCCCGTATCTCCGTCCGTCTCCGCCGTAAACCACCGCGGCTTGTGTTGCGGTATCTCGCCCTTTTCTCTCAGCTTCCGCGTCGCGCGCTGCATCTCCTCCTGGTCATTCTTCAGCGTATTCGCAATCTCGTATTTCCCCATCTCGAACGCGCGCTGGTCGGGCCGCAGGCGGCAGTCCGTCGGGCACAGGTACGGCTTGAGCGTGTCCTTCGGGCAGTCGTTCAAGGTGATCGCAAACGGCGTCAGATTAAACGGCGACCCCTCCGGCTTCTCCGAGTTGCGCCATAGGAGGATGTACTCGGGCGTCGCGGATGGCGAGTTGAGGCCGCTCACGCTCAGG